AACGTCAATAAGCACTAATTAAGATCCACAATTGTAACCAAACCCTGCTATAAAAACCAAAACTGTATCGAAAACTGGTTCGATATAGCCAACAAATGAAGAACATAATCAATTGTTGCAAACCAGACTTTTGGCAGTCAAGGATGGGATGCAAGTCTCACTATCCAAGCTCTATTGGCTAGTGATCTTATCCACGAGATTGGCCTTACAAGAAGACGGAACCTGAGCAACTTAACCATGCTGTTAATGTAATACTTTCCATGGCGGTAAGCATAAATTGAAACATTGGAGAGAACAATAAGCAAATAAAACCTTAAAGTTGTGTAAGAAGCTAATATAGTTAATCAATAATATAAATATTAACTATTTGAACCTTGACAAGCTCTTTTTTATTATTATTTAAATTGATGATGATATATATAGAGCATAAATGGTGGGCTACCAGCATGGGAACCAACAAGATCATCAAAATGGTTGGAGGTAACTAGATCATGAAAATTGTTCTTTCTTTCAAAATGCACTTTACAAGTAGGTACCCCTAATTAAGTTAATTTCTGTTCCATTTCAGATTCTCAATCCTACAGAGTTCTTCGATGACATTGTCATTGAGCATGAGTAAAGCTTGGACACAGTTTACTATTTCCGTATTTTTCTCCTGTTGACAATTACTTTATAATTTAACGTTATGAGACTGACCAAAGTTGTTGATCAGGTACATTGAATGCACATCATCAGTAATATAGTCCTTGGCACTGTTTAAAAATTCATACCCTGAACATAGGAGTAAAGAAATAGATAGTCTCCTTACCTAATGCAGGTGAATACATTGAGAAAATGCAGATGTTAGATGGTTCATGGTTAGTTTCTCCATTCAGTATCATAAGTATAACAGTTTCTAAAATTGTTGGAATGACAATATTCTACTTAACTTGCCAACATAATTAACGAGCCATGAGTATTAGGTATGGAAACTGGGGTATCTGTTTTACATACGCTACCTGGTTTGCTCTTGGAGGACTGGCAGCAATCGGTAAGACATAAGAAAATTGTCAGGCAATGGGTAAAGCTGTCAATTTTTTGCTGAAAACACAGCTGGAGGATGGTGGTTGGGGAGAAAGCTACCGAACCTGCATAGAAAAGGTTATACTTCAGCAAAAACAAGTACTCAAAATTAACAATAGAATAAAACAATTTCTATTTTTGGTCTACCAAAATGTGTAACTTTTCAGCAATGCTCACTGGTCTTGCATTCTTCTCCTTGGTTACTTCATAAGCAGAAATATGTGCCTCTAGAAGGAGGACAATCCAACTTGGTACAAACTGCATGGGCTATGATGGGGTTGATACATACCCAACAGGTTATTTGTTTATAAATTACTTGGTTCGATATAAAAACCAAAATCTTTATCGAAAACTGGTTGATATTCAAATACAGAGGCATCAATGCATCAAGAATCTGAACAGGATCTTGTTCAAACTCCATATTTGGCAACAACAAAAAAAACCCTCCTTTTTGCTCATCAATTTATCCCTCTGCACATCCAATTTCCCCCTAATGGACAACAAAAATGACTGCAAATTATTAACAACAAATTCATCAAGAATAATTCCAATGAACTGGCCATTTACAAAGCTTAGAATCAAGTCGAGATGAGAGAAGGCGATCAAACAGAAGCGACAAAGCGATGCATAACAATTCGGGTTCATACTAAACAGAGAAAAACAAAACACAGTCATTGAAATTTTGGTATGTAGCAAAAAAACTGGTTCCAATCGAAGAGGATGAGCACCGGTTCAAGTTTTACCAACATACCACATCAAACAAGGAGGACTACTCTGTTCATACCTATTCATATTTAAGCATCTACAAAAAGTGTTATATGATTTACCTGCTGAGTGATGGGAGAAGGCGGCGAACAGGAAGGGCAGTTTAGGGCGCAACTTCGCGAGGGGAAAGGAAGGGAGCACGACGAGGAGGACCGAGTAGGGCACAGCTTCCTGAGGGGAAAGGAAGGGAGCACCGGCGAGGAGGGAATCTGGAGGAAGCGATGGGAGGAAGCGATGGGAGGAAGCTGGGTGAAGCACTCGACAGGAAGTGACGAGAAGGAAAAAGCCCGGATTTGGATTTCAAATCCCGCCCCGTTGCGAAGGATTTCCAAATCCCGCGTATAATGGATTCTAATGAAATCCCAGGATTCCAAATCACTTCAATTTGACAAACCAAACACAGGATTGTAATGGATTTCAAATCCAAATCCCTCCAATTCCATTCCAATCCTGCAAACCAAACGCACCCTTAAAAACCATTTTTTATGCGTAAAGTACTGTTTATTAATGCATATTACTTAAAACTCAAGATTACAAATAAATTGTTCGTAGGTACAACTTATTAAAGCTCCATATTTGAATTCGTGTAACTAACTGCAGATAAACACAATCAAATACATAATAAACATCTCATTTTGAATATAAAAAATTTAAAATATAATTAGGATAATCATTGAGTTCTAACAGAATACTTAATTATTATCTTTATAAAATGTTATATTATTAAACCAAAAATAAAT